ACACTACAAAAAACTCTTTATTAAAATCATCTCACAAAATCTGGGTTTCAAATGATGATAGATAAAACTCTTTTAAGGAAATCCAGCATATTAAAGTAGAGTCTTATAGAATGGATAAATGATAGATTATTTGTTCTACAAATGTGTCACTCATTATACAAAAACATTTATCATAATTTAAACATCTAACTTCATTAGTACATTTAGAAACTATTTTCTTTTTCCTGGAAAATAATGTATTACATAAGGCAAAAACTAGCAAGAAAAAAATCCTATGGCCTGAAAATGTCAAAAATGGCAATAAACCATTTTGCAAAATAATGGTTTTTTTCGATATGCTTTAATTGTTCTAGCCTAATTAAAACAATAAGGGAAGAAAATACAATTCAGCAGAATATTCATACCTTAGACATATATTTCTAATATGAAGTATAAACAGACTTGTTATGGTTTGGATCTTAGATGTCCCCCAAAGTCTCATATATTGAGTGCTTGATGGTGATATTGGGAAGTGGTGGAACCTTTAAGAAGTGGTGGAACCTTTAAGAAGTGGGGCCTAGTGGGAGGAAGTTAGGTTATTGGGGGGGTGTCCTTGCAGGGGATATTGGGCCACAGACCCCCATCTCTCTCTCTCTCTCTCTTTCCTGGCCAAGGTGAGGTTAGCAGTCTTGCTCAACCATGTGTTGCCTACCATGATGTTCTGCCTCATCCTTGGCCCAAAAACAAGAGCCAACTCACTATGGGCTGAACCTCTACAACTGAGCCCAAATCAATCAACTTTGTCTTTTTGCTTTCTTTTCTTTTGAAGTAGGGTCTTGCTGAACTGTACAGGCTGGGTTTAAACATGTAATCTCCCTATCCCAGCCTCCCAAAGTCTTGGGATTAGAGCCATGTGTCACCATGTGTCCTCCTTTTAAGCTGATTATCTCAGGTATTTTGTCATAGCCATAGAAAGCCAGTACAAGGGTCATATTTTTCCAGCTTCTTATTAAACTATTCCATTCAACTAGTGCTTTGTAAGTCACTCCTCCCTTTGTCTGCTTTGTGGTGCTGGAGATGGAACCCAGGGTCTCAAATGCTAGGCAAGCACTATGCCAATGAACTGTATTCTCCCACCTTTGTTAGTAAGTCCTACACTGCAGTCACATTAACTCATTTTGCTCACTTAACTATCTCCTCTTTATGATACTTGATCATATTTATATCCAGAAAATAAAGTATCACCACCTCAGGTCATTCATGAGAGTCTTTTTCAGAGAACTAACAGATAACAGTGCTTTTGGTGGTAATAATAGCAACCTAATTAATAATAATGGCTCAGAGTACAAAGCACTTATGTTTACTAAACCAAATGCTCACAGGGAGTGTCCCAGGTTGGTCTGGGAGCTCACTGATGTCAAAGTAGAGTCAGGTGGCCAAGCCTGGACTTCAGCCTACAGAGTCTGTCTCAAGTTGCCTATGGAATGCTCTACTTCCCTACAAGAGCTTTGTGAACAGATACCTTTTTCTTACCTTATATTCCTCAATATTTGGATACAGTAATCATTAAATAAATATTCATTAAACCATTGAGGTCAACATCAAATTGGAGGAGGGGGACTAGGACAATGTAAAATAAAAGGGTGCTTATGTATAGAATTAAATCAGTTTGAATCATTCAAGTTAATGCTGGATCTTTGTCCTATGTAGTTTTTCAACAGCTTTCAGTAGAACTGAAAAACATTTTGGATTATTTATAGTCCTCCTCTTCATTGCAAGCTCCTTAACTGGCTGAACAAAGCTCTGGGTTTAAATTAGCAAATTTAAAAGAGTATAATGAGCTAAAATTGCTCTATATGAGAAAGGTCTAGAAAGGCCGAAACAGCGAGCTTAGCTTTGTGTGCAGGCATGTGTGAGCATATGAGTGTGTGAGTGTGTGTGTGCGTGTGCTTTGCAAGAGAAGAGCGGACTGAGCTAAGACAAGGTGGCTAGAGGAGAGATGAGAGAGGATGTATGTTTGGCAGTGATTTTTAAAAAGTGAAATATCATAGGCTGTATCACGAGACCTCTATAGGGTTTCATTTAAACTACAGAAGTCATAAAATTGGCATAGTGTTGTATGCTTGTAGTCTCAGCTTCTAAGGGGGCTGGGATAGGAGGCTCACTTCAGCCCAGGAGTTAAGAGTAGCTTAGGCAACATAGGGAGACCCTGTTAAAAAGAAGGAAGGAAGTCATATCATACTTGACATGATTGAATACTAAGATGAGCTTCTGTCAAGAAATCAACATAACTGAAGAGTTATGTCAGAATTTATGATAGTCCTGAGGGCTCAATTGATTATGTGCTGTGCACATGTTTATGTGTGTGTTCATGTGTACAGATTTTAAATGTATAAACACTGCACTTACTAAAGGTGGTGAGTTCTCTGTCTTAGAAATATATCTTGAGAACTACTCTGGTAAAAAAAAAAAAAAAGAAAAGAAAATAACTACTCTGGTTAGCCCCTGATCACTCTTGCATCAACTGCTTAAGTGATTTATATGCTATCAAGCTTTGCATGGCATATTTTAAAATTTTGGGGACAAATGTAAACTTGGAACAAAAATACTAGCACTTGATAAAAATTCATCAAGTGTTCTTACTCAAAGAGTCCTTTCAGAAGAAATCATAGAGCAAAACACCCAGCAGACCAGGTAAAAACCAGAAGCACTAAGACAGGAAGAGCTAGAAGCACAAAACACCCAGGCATCAGTCTGGGGATGTGGGTGTCTGCTTGTGACAGGGTGGTGCTGTGGGAGCGGCTGGTGAGCTCTTTGCTTTTTTGGGCTTTCACCTGGTAGAACTGGCAGGAATGGTACCAGCAGTAATTTGTTTTTCTTATGAACCCAGCCAGCACTTTGAAAGCAGCACACAGTCATTTTAACTATTTCTACTGGCCCAAATCCAAAGGGATTGGCCAGAAATAAATCATTTTTAGATATGCAGATGACAAGAGACTTGGCTAGTCAGAAAAGCTAAGTCCCATTAAGTTTAAGGCCATGTTTTAGAAGTCAGAAGACAGCACTGGCAGGCTGGTCTGCAGGTGGGTGAGATCTAGCACAGCGTGGTCTGGCTTTCTAATTTATAGAACTATTGCCTGGTTTGCAGAGTGAAGATTGTCCCATGGCCCTGGCTCCTTGGAGTAGTCCCTGATCATTCTACAGGGAAGCCTCTTGTATCTTGAACTCTGTCTCATACTGTTCTGCAGTGAATCATTAATAGTTTTAAATTGATCTTACAACAACAAAATGAGGCCATGGATATGTCAGCGCCTAGCTCACGTCCTGTAAGACTTACTTTATCCACCATACTATCCCTGCAAAGGTAGTCCTAGCCAGAACACAAAGTAATGAAAGCAAGACCATTAAGCAGAGGTGACTCAGCCCACATTCTCATCTAACATAGGACACAAGCCCTAACAAGAAATGTACTTCAGTAGGTCCAGAAATCACCGCTATTGAAATTACCCAGATGGTATTACAGCAGAAAGCCCTTATGAGTGTACACACTATTAGCCAGATTTGAATATGCATGCCAGTAAAAACTGTGGCCTGAATGCTTGCTGGGTCATTTGAAACACTTGCTTCTGAGGAAGATATATGAATACAGAGTACTCAGAACCTATTTCAGCAGAATTAAAATATTTCAAAATCATAATACATACCTATAGAAATTCATATATAACAGAAGTTACAAGACTGAAAACAAATGCTCCTTCCCTCCTGCCTTCCAATCTCACAATGAACAGTTAAGTTTGCTCAACAGTCCTCAAGGGCAGGCTGAGGAGCTGGGGGTCAGAAGTGCACATGCCCAATGCAGTCCTTGCCTTTCTGGGGCCTGTGTTTTAGTGACAGAAGACAAGACTACAAGCAAGGAAACAAACAAACAAACCAAAACAAAAAGAAGCCTTAGGCTACTTCTAGGCTGTAGGCAAATTATTTGTCTTGTTTTGTATATCTGATAGGAACTTGGTCACAAGTTCCTGGGGGTGCTAGGGGTAAAGCTGAACTTTCTAGAGCTTACCTCAGCCTTTACCAAACTTACTTACAATACGATTGCTAATGGTAAGGTCATAACAGGGTGTATCAGGCTTTGCTTATTGAACTTATGGTTTTAGCTAATCGGGGAAGAGCTCTGTGTTCTGGACTGCCAGTAGGTGAAACAGTCAAACGAAACGTTCAATGCTATTTCAAAGAACAACTGTGGTATTTCTTTCTTGAGATGGAAAGAAGTGTGGTTATTTTGAGGACTGTTCCAAACCCTCTTGGGACCAGGGGAACTCCCCCCCCCCATCCTGTCAGTTGTCTGGAACGAGGTCTCTCTTGGCAGTTTCTCCCTAGCCCCAATTCTGCATGAAAAATCTCGTCTTAACTGGGCTTGTGGTTGTCATTACCTGTGTCCCACAGCATCTTGTCTTTAGACCCGAGGCAAAGAGGATTCCCTAGGCTCTGACGCGATCAACACGGCCCACTCATTTTACCTTGATCTTTCATCCGGAATTGGGAATATGTGCCTATAAACTGGGGCGGGCGCTCCTCCTTCTCTTGTTTCACAGTGTATTTCTGTGTCCTCCACACCTACTGTTTTGATTTGAAAGTGCCCTCAGTAAAAACTGTGCCAAACCTGTTTTTCTCCTTTTGAGTAACAAGTACTCCTTTGTATTTATAACCCAACTCCCCTCCTGCCTTTTCTCCATCTTATATCTTTCCTACCCTGGGGAATTTCAGGCTCACCTAGGCCGATCTGGGGAAGGGCGGGGCCGGACCCTGGCAATGCGCAGCAGTCGTGATTTTCTTTGCACGTATTTTGCTGAGCGGGTGTGGGACATTTCTGCATAAACTTCTGGTTCGCGAGTACCATTTATCCCCCCCCCCCCCGCCAGGTCTTTTCCTTTCCCTTCATCCTCCATGCACCGTCTCCCGTTGGGTTGTTTGCACCCACCACGCCTGAAGTACGAACCTCCCTTCCTCTACAGGCTAACCTAATTCTGGTGCCGGCTGGTGTTTGGTTTACTTCTCCACGTGGCTCTCCTGAGAGCTTCATTTCTTGCTCCTAGGATGGGTGCTGGCATTCAGGGGCGGGGTGCGGAATCACCGAACGTGCACCGAGGCATCCGAGACCCCGGGCCCGCTGAGGCCCCAGGAGCCGGGGCCGTGGGGAGGGGCGGCAGGAAGGGCTGGGCCGGGTGAATCAGAGGGCGTAACAGGTGCCTCGGCCGCAGCTGCGCCCGCCGCGCGCTGGGGCTCCAGGGAAAAGGTTCTCTTTTCCTCCGGGTTTTTTTGGAGGTGAGGAGGCGGCTCCTGCGCCCCCACCCGACCAATGCAGGCCGCGGTTGTTCGTCGCCTAGCAACTGGCGGAGCCAATGGGCGGCGGCCGGGCCTGCGGCGCTGGCGCGGGGCGGGGTGGGAACTCGCGAACCTGCTGCGGCGGGGGCGGTGCGAGGGGCGG